CACCCTGTTTCAAACATCTCTTCCCCTACTTTCTCCCCCTTTCCTCCACCTCCACCCTCAATCCCAGACCCAATACCCCACCTAGGGAGCCCTGGGCTAAATTGACCCCAGAAGCTGGGAATATGACCCACTAGGGGGCACTCTTCCATCACACCGGTCCTGCCCCAGAACCCCAAGCCACTAACCTTGTCCTGTAAATGCAGAGTCCTCTCCACATTCCCTGAAGCTTCTGGCCAGTAGCAGAGGATCTTTCCAAGCAGCAATGGTGTGTGCATCAAATCAGTACCCACTTAGTACAAGATAGGTCTGCAGAAAAGGCAGATGTCTAGGGTTAAAATGATATTTCAAAATGGTCATCCTGGCCAGGCATGGTAGCTCATGCCTATAATTCTAGCACTCTGGAAGGCTAAGCCAGGTGGATTGCTTGAGCTCATGAGTTCGAGACCAGCCTGACCAAGAGTGAGACCCCTGTCTCTACTAAAAACAGAAAAATTAGCCAGGCATTGTGGTGGGTACCTATAGTCCCAGCTACTTGAGAGGCTAAGACAAGAAGATCGCTTGAGCCCAAGAATTTGAAATTGGTGTGAGCTACGATGCCATAGCACCCTACCCAAGGCAACAGAGTGAGACTCTCAAAAACAAAACAAAACAAAAAAGGTCATCCATGATGCACTGGCTTGGATGTGCCACTCTTTTCCTATTCTTAAATCCCCACTCTATTCCTTCTTCAGCCTAATGGCTGCCCAAACAAGAATAAACTGAAGGACATGCTCCTGCAGTTTATCCATTTATTTGCCAGTATCCATTAGAGATGTCTCCCATGCAGGACTGGGAATTATGGAGGTTCTGGGGAGCCACAGACACCAGAGAAGGGGAACAAAATAGAAGCAGTGTTCAGAGCTCTCTCCTCATATGTAGGAAGCATCCCAGCCCTGGGCACCAGATGCAAAGTGCCACAGAGGAAGGCCCATGGCTCAAAGAGTGGGTGCAGCTTGAAAAGTTAAGGCCCCTTTATTTTTTAGAACAGCACTCTCTTAGCTAAACCATTATGGGGGCTCATTTTACTAATGCTCCAACTTTGGAGGATTTAACCTCCAAAGACAAAGACCCCATGAGGCCACTTATGCCTGCAGGAGATTCCAGGCCCCATGACTGGGAATGAAAGGGAGAGGAAACCACAGTGGAATAAGAGGGCTTAGGGGATAAAACCTAGAGGCAGTAAAGGAGGAAGGGGTGGAGAGGGGGTGAAGAGGAAGCAGGGGTTTGCAAAAAGACAAAGAGAAGGAGGCCTCTACTTGGCTCTATTTCTACCCTTGGAACTAGAGTATTGGAAGGGCCATGCCCAGGTTCAGGCTCTTCTTGTGCATTTGCTTCCTGCCCCAGATTCCAGTAGGCTTCCTCTTCCCATGACCTGTCAAAGGGAGTGTGTAGGGGGAGCTAGTAGGGGGAATTTCGTGATTCTCCTGCCTCTGCCTCCCAAGTAGCTGGGACTACAGGCGTCTGCCACAATGCCCGGCTATTTTTTGGTTGCAGCCATCATTGTTTGGAGGGCCCGGGCTGGATTCAAACCCTCCAGCTCAGGGAGGGCTGGTGCCTTAGCTGCTTGAGCCACGGGCGCCAAGCCTAGAAGGGGGAATTTCACAATTAGCAGTCTTCTTTTGATGCTGCTGTCTGTGCCTGGAAACTACTCGTCCACTAATCAACCATTTAGGAAGTGAGGGGAACCATTCCTTTCCTAGCTCCATGGGAGAGGACTGCTAGGGTCCCACAGGAACTTACCTTCATAGTCTTGTTGGGTGAAACAGAATGGAGCTGCAAGGCCAGATGGAGGAAGGAGGCCATACACCAGGCACAGATCCAGACTCTGGCCAAGGAGGGGCAGGGTGTGGGTGCCTAGATCCCTTGCTAAGCACGGTATACACCTATGATGTGGCCACACCCCTGAAAGCCGCATTCTTTAGAGCAAAGGCCTCTAACCTGGCTTATTCTGAAAACTGGGTCATCTCTGTATCTCTCCTGGGTAAGATTCCTGACCCAGCCAGCCACACTTTCATCTGGGAAGAATCATAAACTGTGAGGGGGTAGGGAACTAGAGAGAGGGGGTAAAGGAAAGAGGGATGAGGGCAGCACCTGTGGCTCAAAGGAGTAGGGTGCTGGCCCCATATGCCGGAGGTGGCGGGTTCAAACCCAACCTTGGCCAAAAACTGCAAAAAATAAAAAAGAAAGAAAGAAAGAGGGATGAGGCAGACAGAATGTAGGAGGAAGAAAGTTCTAGCTCAGGCACTACGTCCATAGTTCAGTGGTTAGGGTGCTGGCCACATACACGGTGGCAGGCAGGTTTGAACCTGGCCCGGGCCTGCTAAACAACAATGACAACTGCAACAACAACAACAACAAAACAGGTGGGCGCCTGTAGTCCCAGCTATTTAGGAGGTTGAGGAAAGAGAATTGCTTGAGCCCCAGGGTTTGAGGTTGGTGTGAGCTGTGATGCCATAGTGAGATTCTGTCTCAAAAACAAAAAGAAAGAAAGAAAGTCCTGGTTCACAAGGTGAGCCTCTCTTCCCCTGCTGTAAGTGAAGATTTCATACGCAAACAGGTGGCTGGTCGGCCCAGTGCCCTATTGTGCACACTTACCCATGGCACATGTGAGCTGGGGTCGCCCCCTCACCAAACCACCCTGCAGAGCCGGGTGTGGCTGCCAGCTCAGGTAGGCTCCACTGAGGCTCCGGGCCTGGCCCTGCCTGTGAGGTCCTGCCCTCAGTCCTTCTTGCAGAGATGAGGAAATAAGAAAAAGAGTAAGAGTACATGCAAATTCCCCACCTGGGTTTGGGGATCCCTCTCCTCCTTCTGTCCCTTTGGGACTCGGAGGTAAACACTCACGGGACCTGTTTTGATCTACCTAAGGCTTGCCTACTCCAAGATGCACCTCTTTGGATCTAGCTGCCTTAAACTGGCCCCTTTCTGCAACCATCTCAAGAATTTTTGTCAAGCCTTTTGCCAGGTGCCCCTCCAAATGCCCCTGAAAGACAGGATATCTCATGTGGCCTTTCCTCTGATTTTGCAATCTCAAAGAGTACTTGCCCACACCCACTTTCATACCTCCACTAAGGGTTTCCAAGAAGAATGTTGTCCATAAGGTAAGGTCACCTGAGGACCACTTCTCTTACATTTTTAAAATCCCTGCCTATTGTATCTAGTTAACATAGTGGGGTACTAGCCATAGCTTTTCTTTGTAGGGTGGTCCTTGGATGGTCAAAAATCCCTTAGTTTGACACAAATAATCCATTTGCTAATTTGTCTCAGATCCAATTACTATTTCAAACACAATATTTGGTTCTAAGTAAATTCCATACACACACGTTTTGGAAGAGCTTTATTAAAAATTAACAATGTTGGCTCGGCGGCTCAAGTGGCTAAGGTGCACACCCAAGGTGGCCGGTTCGAATCCAGCCTGGGCCTGCCAAACAACAATGACGGCTGCAACCAAAAAATAGCCGGGCGTTGTGGCGGGTGCCTGTGGTCCCAGCTACTT